CTTGGCTAAATAGTATGGTGCTATTGGCTATTTTGCTGAGAGGCACAACTGCCACTATAAGTGACAGTTGTTGACAGTTGTTTCCTCGAGCTGCTAGAATTGGAACTCCAGTTTCTACAGCTACTGGCCCATTAACTTATATAGACTCTTCTGCTTCAGCTAGCCTTAGAATAGCTGCTTAGAGTGGGGCAGTGGCTTTCCTGTCATGGTTCCAGATCTCTGAGCTGTGTTTAGGCTGAATGCCAGCCCCTGTTAAACAAGTACCAATTGGTCATGGATTAGAGGATGATGTCCACAGTTGCCAGAATAATTAGAACAACACAGCAGACTAACCAGCTGCTTTCTCTATTGACTGTTACTGACTAGAATGCAAATTTAGGGCACAGAGTGATAGTACAGCAGGTAGGGTATTTGCCTTGTACATGGCCGACCCTGGTTAGATGCCCAGCATCCCATATGGTCCCCTGAACTCTGCCAGCAGTAATTCCTGAGTGCAGAGCCAGGAATAATACTTAAGTATCACTGAGTATGGCCCCCAAACAAACAAACAAACAAACAAAATGAAATGCAAATTTAAGTGCACTTTCATCAGTGAGCATTCATTTACAACAAAATCACTGGTAACCACGGGTTTGTTTTCTGCCCCTATAGTTTACTTTTCCCAGAATAATTAATAGATGAATCTTGCAATATGTAACCCTTCAAATTAGATCCTTGACTTTGCATAAAGCATTTCAGATTTTTTAGTGTTATTTGATGGTTCAATATTTTATTTTGACCTATATTTTCATTGGATCCTCAGCATGCCTTACGGCCCCCTGAATGTATTAGTATTTCTTTTGTTTTTCAGTTGAACAATGGTTGGGATATTTCCAATTTTTAACAGTTATTAATGAAAATTCCAAAACATCTGCATAAAGGTTTTCACATAAACATACATTTTTTGCTTTCATTTCTTCTGATTATTAGGCAAATCTAATTATGTGTGTGTTAATGATACTGAAAAACAATTTTCCATAACGATTATACCATTTTGAATTCTTACCATTGATGTCTGAGAGTTTTTGTTGTTCTGAATACTTACTAGCATTTATATAGCCTGATTTGTTTTGTTTTTTCCTAATGTATGATGATAGACATTATAGTTTGGATTTACATTTTCTTTTCTTTTAATGATGTTGAGCATCTTTTTACATAATTAGTTATGTCTATTCAAACATTTTGCTCATCTTTTGACTTCATTGTCTGAATAGTCACCTGTACACATTCTTTATTCAAACTAGAAAACTATTGGGGACTGAATTTGCAAATATTTTCTTCCAATTTGGAGTTCATATTTTTATTTTCTTACTATGGACTTTTGAATAGTGGTTTTCTTATTTTTCCTTTGTTCTTTTTGTTATTGTTGTTTATTTGGGCCACATCTGGCAGTGTTCAGGTCTTACTCCTGACTCTGCCCTCAGGGATCAATCACTCTTAACAGGGTTATGGGGCCGTAAGGCATGCTGAGGATCAAATCTGGGTTGGTGGCATGAAAGGCAAATGTCCTACCTGATACTATCTCTCCAGCCCCTAAAAAGTATTTTTTAACTAGGATGAAATTGAGTTTTATTTATACAAAAGTTACCAAATTCTTTTGTTTTGGTTTTTGTGCCACACTCCAGGGTTCTTGGGAGCTACTCACAGCTCTATACACAGGGCTCATTCCCAGAATGACCATTCAGGAGACCATTCAGTACCAGGGATTGGACCCAGGCCTTCTGCATGCAAAGCAGAAGTCTGCTTGAGCTATCTCTCTAGCCCTCAAAATATCACATTTTTAATGAATTATTTTATGGTATCATCTTTAGGAAAAATGTCAGATATAAAGGTTTATGGTTGATTGTTTTATGAAGTAAGAATTTCATTGAGGGAGAATACTAATTATAAGAATGTGGAATTCTCCAGGGAAAGAGAGAGAGAGCGAGGGAGCGAGAGAGAGAGAGAGAGAGAGAGAGAGAGAGAGAGAGAGAGAGAGACGAGGCAACCCATTAGAGAAATTGCATACCCCAAGTTGAGATTTAGATGAGCTCCCAGATGGATTCCATTGCACACGTAAAGTAGAGGGGGAATAGCTGCATACCCATGTAGAATGGTACAGGCCACTCCGGATTACAGTGTGTCATAAAGTAGCACTGTCATCCTGTTATTCATCGATTTGCTTGAGTGGGCACCCGTAACGTGTCCGTTGTGAGACTTGCTTTTGGCATATCGAATATGCCACTGGTAGCTTGCCAGGCTCTGCCATGCAGGCAGGATACTTGGTAGCTTGCCGGGATCTCCAAGAGGGACGGAGGAATCAAACCCAGGTTGGCCGAGTGCGAGGCAAATGCCCTACCCGCTGTGCTAGAGAAGTCACACGTTCTATGCAGGGCTGTGGGTGGTTCCAGAATGGATTGCACCTATGAGTTTTGAGAGAATTTTTATTTGAGTTGCAAGGAATGCTGACAGTTTGAGTTTTTGTTTGCTTTTGTTTTTGCATATGGATGTTTAATTTAATTTAAAGTTTACAATTTTTTGATTTGGGGTAAAATGAACCACACCTGACAGTGGTCAGGGACTGTTCCTGGTTCTCTGTTCAAGGATGACCCCTAATGTGAGGCTATTCACTGAGATTATCTTGGTTATTTACTTGTTTCATGAGTTATTAATCTAAAATTTTATTTAGTTTATATTTTTCTCTCTTTTTGCTTAAAGTTTGTTTTTTCCATTTGTTTCAATGGGGTTAATAATTGCCAGAAAATTTTCAAGGTAAATGCTTTAAAGGCCCTGGATCTTATTTAAATCCTGTAATAGATTGTCAATCTTGGATTTAGTTAATATTTTGTTACAGTTTTGTGCACCATTAAATGTCGAATTAACTGTTAGAACGCTTGTAGGGCTCTTCTGGTACCCCACTTCTGTGACACTCGGACCATTTTAGAAGAATCTGGGTGATATTCTACCCATGTTCAATTCTCGAACTTTTGCTATTTTTACTCTGATCAATTTCACATAGAAAATGCTTCACTGGCCATGACTTCTTCTGCACCATTTTATTTTTGACGTAGGAGGGTACTTCTGGTCTTTAATTGGCAAGTGACGCAGAGACTGGATATTAATTCCACAGAGGTGACTGGGAGCAGGTCTTTACAATGGATTCACTTCTTGTAGGGCTTTCATCAGGACCCCATTAGCTTTGATCTTGGGCCTGGAGGCTTCATCCACTGTCCCCACCAGCTCAGATGATATCCAAGTTCACCTTAACCATTCCCAAGTCGAGCATGCCCAACATCAGGGCCTTTACTACCAGAGGAATGAGGAATCCATGTAAACTGGAACCAAGTTACTGACTCAGATGGTTTGGTATACACCAGTTGCAAAGTTTGTTCAGTGTCCTCTCTCAAGCTCTAGTTGGGGATGGATAAAATATTACCTCATTGCTATCCGTTGCTTTCTTGGGGGCATAATGGTGCATAGGTTTCTCCCCAAAGTCTCTGCATTGCCCTGTGGAAAGGAAAACACAGTCTTTCTTTTATAGACTCTTTAGTTGTATGTGATTTGTCTTGAATAAGCATAAACAAAATGACTGCTACCCTTCTACCCTCTTCCCAGTGTTTTCACTAAAGAGAGCAGGTTTCTTTAGTGAGTTTGCATTTATCTCTGTTGGTGTTTGTGGTTATAGGCTAAGGCTCGCTATTTATGGAGGCCAAAAAAAAAAGGAGAAAGTTGCCATTAGATTGTTCCTGTGTTCATTAGTCCCTAGCAAGTCTGCCTTCCATGTATTTAGCCTGGGTTTACTGGATATAATTAGTGAAGAATCAGTGTACTAAGCAGTATTGTCTAAGACAGAAGCTAATGATGACTCATTGTTTTCATCTTTTTAAAAAAATTTCTTCTTTTTTTTCTTTTTGTATATTTAATTATTCCTTTTTTAAAATCTCTGATAAAAGCATACCATGTTGTCTTATGTAGAGTGTATACTTAAGAAGTGGGGGGTTTTGGCAAGAATAAAGAAGGAGGGTAGGAAAAAAGAAACTCTGTATCTCAAAATAATAATTCAGTATAACAGAATAATTAAGAATAGAGTCTGTACTCTGAAAATTATGGGGTATTGCCAGGGGGAAAAGGACAAGGACAGTGGGAGGAAAGATGAAAGGTCAGATAGGGTGATAGTATGACAGCACGTAACTTCAGTGGTGGGTACAGTAAGATATTTAGAAGAGGAAGCCCAGAATTTTATAGTACTATAAGCCAGTCATGATAGCACAGTGGTAGGGCGTTCGCCTTACAAGCGGCCAACATGGCCGACCCGAGTTCGATTCCTCCGCCCCTCTCGGAGAGCCTGGCAAGCTCCCGAGAGTATCTCGCCCGCACAGCAGAGCCTGGCAAGCTCCCCGTGACGTATTCGATATGCCAAACACAGTAACAACAAAGTCTCCAATGGAGACGTTACTGGGCCCGCTCGAGCAAATCGACGATCAACGGGAGGGCCTTTACCTTTATGAATCAACAAAATATGATAAAATAAAATCATAAGAAAGGAATATACCAGAGAGATAGGACAGAGGTAAGGTATTTGTGTTGCACTCAGCCAACCCCAGCTCAATACCCAGCACTGTATGTAGTCCCCCAAGTTCTGCCAGGGGTCACTTCTGAACACAGAGACAGAAATGGCTCAAGAGCACTGCAGAGTTTGACCCCCGCTTCAAAAAAAGAAATACAGATTTCTAGAGTCAGCAATCAGGTTGAATTCTAGCTTCAATGCCTAGTTACATGCAGGTTATTTAACCTCCTTGAGCTTCAGTTTCCTACAATATGAAGCTGGTGATTTCTATCTCAATAGGGTAAGAGCAAATGAAATAATATATTTCATATATTCAGCATAGTTCTTGATAAGTAAATAGTAAATGTAATTCCTGGCTTATGTTAGTAATACAACAATAATTATCAGATATATTTTCTGTTTCCTGTACTATTAGGGAATTCTGCCCTTAAAGACAAAGAAGATCAATTTGGGAGAACACCACTTATGTATTGCGTGTTGGCTGACAGACTGGATTGTGCGTACGCTCTCTTAAAGGCAGGGGCAGATGTTAATAAAACTGACCATAGCCGAAGAACAGCCCTCCACCTTGCAGCTCAAAAGGTAAGAAGTAAAATTTTTCTGAAGACTAAGCCTTTTGTGTGGCATTTGTTTGTTGATTAAAGGACTGATGCACTGGATAGGTGAAGCAGATATCACAAATATGAGTCTTTAGTTTCATAGTGTTTTTCTCTAAAAAAACAGTTTTGACATTGTAGAAAGAAATCACAGTTAACTATGAGTGACTGCATTCACTTATCAAGTTCCTCAAACAATAGTATATCATCTTTTATGACTATAACATATTTTAAGTTGGGGACAAGGATTCAAAATTATAAACTTAAACTGTGTTACAAATAATTTTTTGCTTAGGGAAACAGGAAAGAACAAAAATAAAAACATTAAGATATTAATAATGGTTGACTTTGAATACTGAAAATATTTGTGAAATTTTGTACTTTCCACTATTTAAAATATTTTCCATAGTATTATTTTATAATAAAAAGGTTTCAGTGTCTCTTAAAATATGTGGCATTGGAGGTTTAAAAGAAACATTTTTTTTTAAATACATTTTCAACTTTTTATTTTTTATTTTTATGGCTTTTTGGGTCACACTCAGCCATGCTCAGGGATTACTCCTGTTGGTGCTTGGGGGACCATATGGAATGCCAGGATTGAACCCAGGCCGGCTACAGGCAAGGCAAGCACCCTATATGCTATACTATCGCTCCAGCCCCATTTTCAACTTTTAAAATATCTAAAACTATATTACCAAGGTAGACTACATGTGTGTGAGTATGTGTGTGTGTGTGTGAGTATGTGTGTGTGTATGCCCATGCATACACACACACGAGCACACACAAGCACATGATTTAGGCTTTGGACCCAGTGCCTCACACAAAGAACTAATGCTCTACCACTGAGCTATATTCCCGGCCCCTATATTATTGTTATAACTAGTATTAAAAAAGCATTGGTAAAAGCTCAATTTTTTTATAATTAAACTTATATGAAGTGTCTGCATTTATTTAAAGACTTAATTATGTGAAAACTTTCCCCTCCATAAAAATTTGGACTACAAAATATATTTGCAGAATCTGGTATTTTTCATAATGTTACTTTAGACATACATTCTTTTGGAATGAAAAGCAATGAAAATTAGTTAGATCCAAGTTGTTTCCCATTTAAAAATGTGAACCACATTTAGCTGATTAATTGAGGGGTTAGGGAAAAAACCTTTTCATTAGTGAAATACATAAAAAGAGACTGACAGAAGGAGACACTGCTAAATATGCTGGTTATCTGCTCTTATCAGTTAGGTCTGTCAGGTTATTTCCAAAGTTATTGCTCTTGAATTTGCTTTTCATTATAGTAATTTAAAAAAAAAAAAGCTCCCTCATTTTCCATCTCAGTTTTAACTACTGTTCAGTGTTTATAACCTTTCACCTAGGCTTGTCAGTTGTTAAAATTATTCACTCAGGCAGGGTAACTCCATTTAACTTGTTATCATAAAAAAGTAAACATTTCAGATTGGTCATAGCCCCAATATTAGGATTTGGTACACTTTAGATTTTGCTTTATGATTCGTTTTGGTTTAAAACTCAATTTAAAAAATAGATGGAGAAAGCTAACTTAACATCAAGTGGATCTTCACCCCAAAAAATAAATGAAGATTTAAGCTAATGACTGAACAGTGTGTTATCTTTATAGATGACCAAAAAGGTAGTGTCAAATTTGTAACATCACCAAAATAGGTTGAGAAGGGACAGTACGATCATGGACACAGAGAGGTGTAAGTCTCCATAAAATGCAGCGCCTTGTTTCCTTTTGCTGTTTGTTTCCCCTTTATTTCTCTAAATTTAATTTGCCAGTGTCAAAAAATAAATAGAGCTGTCCTGTGATTTACATGTCCCAATTTACATTGCTGACTTCAAAAATAACAAGCTTCATGTTATTTCAGGTGCCTCATTAGTATGCGTTTCCCCTGTCTCTGTCCTGCAGTTCATTTTTACCTGAGTTTGTTTCAAAATGATCTTATATTTTCTTTCTCACTTAAGTATTTTATACATTCACTTTTGTATAGAAATTCATTCTAATTTTAAAAGACAGAAGTAACAAATTTTCCAAGGACTACCTTACTCATTAATACTTGGTCTTACAGTATCTGCTGTTTACAAGTGCCAGACTTTTGCACTGTGTACTTTCTTTTTTTTTTAAAAGGAGGAAAATTCACATGCAACAGTGAAACAGGAGGCAGAAACCAATTGTGCATTCTTTTTTATTTTTTAATTTTTTTGTTTGTTTTTTCATATTTTTTTAATTTTATTGAATCACCGTCAGATAGTTATAAGCTTTCATGTTTGGATTATAATCACATAATGACCAAACACCCATCCCTTCACCAGTGCACATTCCCCACCACCAGTATCCCCGGTATACCCCCCCTTTCCCACCCTCCCCCTGCCTTCATGGCAGACATGATTCCCCATATTCTCTCTCTACTTTTGGGCATTATGGTTTGCAATACAGACACTGAGAGGTTATCAGGTTTGGTCCTTTATCTACTTTCAGCACACATCTCCCATCCTGACCAGTTCCTCCAGCCATCATTTTCTTAGTGATCCCTTCTCTATTCCAGCTGCCTTCTCCCCTTTGCTCATGAGACAGGCTTCAAGCTATGGAGCAATCTTCCTGTCCCGTGTATCTACTATCCTTAGGTGTCAGCCTCATATTATATTGTTTTATATTGAATCACCGTGAGATACAGGTACAAAGCTTTCCTGTTTGAGTTTCAGTCATACAGTGATTGAACATACAACCCTCCACCAGTGCACATCTTCCACCACCAATGTCCCCAGTATCCCCTCTCCTATCCCTCCCCCAGCCTCTATGGCAGACATACTCTATGGCAGATATACTCTTTTGTATTGCCTGTTATGAATAGCTTAAGATGTCATGGAATTCTAAAATTTTTTATGATTAGGATCTGGAGAAATCTCTTTAGCAAGCTGCTCAGTTCAGAGATTCTTTTGCATGTCTCTGGATCTTGGCCGTTAAGGAGCTTAAGTAACAGCCGGAGGCAGTTTGTGGGCATGACATCCAGGGTCCCATGGGGGATAGGGGGGATGAGAGAGATCGGTCCATCCCCTATCCCTTGAAGCCTGGAGTTTGCTATTACTGAACCCGCATACCTGCACCTCTCACTGAGTTCTGGAAGTTGGCGGCCGCCAGAGTTTTAGGTGGCAGGAATGGGATGACACCTGCCCCCATTTGAGGCACCCCAGTGGTCAGCCTGGCTTAAGGTCTGGAGGCATCGCTGCAGGGAGCTACTTGGCTCAGAGAAGCTACTTGGCTTCTTTTTTGTGTCTCTGGATCATGGCCCTTGTTTCCATCTTTTCCAGAGAAATAAACTATTGGTATATGCCCTTCAGGGCGCACCCGCTCATCTGTCCATAGCATGCCGTGTGCCTCAGGCCCTAATTGCGACTTTTGATCTCTTTTGAAATTTATGATTCTCTGAAATAAGGCCAGTAAATGAGTGAGCTTGGATAGCTGAACTGGAGGTGGCTTGTGGGTGCGGCTCCCACATGCCTAAATTTTGGCTGTTTAATTTCTTGGTAAACTTGGCCCCAAGTTGTTGGGGTCCGGGCTAAAGGCACACTGGCAATTTTGGGGTATCAGGAAGCCCAAAACCACCATCAGGCTGCTGATACCCTTGCCCTGAAAGTTATAGATTCACCTGCTGGCAGCACCATACCCCCTTCACTGTGTACTTTCTATATTCTGTTTTGTTCATTATTGGTGATCGAGAGGGCACTGCCAAAGCAATGTTCAGAAGACCTAGGGGCCATTTCTGGTGACTCTTGGCCAACCAGGAGGGACATTTGAATGCTCAGGCCACGTGATACTTTGCTGCTTAGGCTCAGCAGTGCCGGGAGCATCAGGGCCACAGTTTGTGGTGCTCAGGAGCCTCCAGCTCTATGCCCAGTGGTGCTCAGGAGACCATGCAGTGTGGAGATCAAGGACAGGGCCTCACATGTGCATGCAGCCCTTTAGGCTCTCTTTAGAAAATTGGAAAATAGATGGTACACAAGTACTTTACAGGGACTACAGCAGTAGCTAAGCTACTTTGGAAAAGAAAAAAAATAGATCTATATAGAAGGCTATTACAGGTCAGGAATAGAGAAGCAGGGTTGGGCCCAAGAAATACATTATGGATATAGAATTGTCATTAAATATGTATCTGCCAAAAGTCTACTATTGTCATCATTATTATGTACCTAGAGAGAATTTTTTAAAAATGAAACACATATGTCTGCTATTAAAAAAAAATAAAAAACTGTTCTCAGGGGCTGGAGCAATTGTACAGCAGGTAGGGCATTTGCCCTGCATGCAACTGACCCAGGTTTGATCCCCAATATCCCATATGGTCACCCAACCACTGCTAGGAGTGATTCCTGAGTGCAGAGCCAGGAGTAACCCCAGAGCATCACTGGGTGTGACACAAAAGGCCAAACAATTGTTCTCAGTACTGATTGCTACTAAACTTCACTTAATGAGACCAGAGATAGAGTACAGGGGATAAGGCACTTGCCTTGCGTGTGGCCAACTCTGGTTTGATTTCTAGCATTGCAGGGTCCCCAGACCTCAAATCACCAGGCGTGCCCCACCCCCAATAAAACCCTTGAAAAGCAAAACAGACTCCATTTTCTTTTGTTTAATGAACCTTTATGTTGTATTGTATACCAAATATTATTTTCAACTTTGTCTATCCCACTTAATTCTATTGTCTAAAAACTCAGAAGTATGCCATTAAAGTGGCATGATATATATACGTACATATATATATATGTATGCATTCACTCACATGTCATAGCACTGTTAATCATGCTTAGCTTTGGAATACAAAAAGAGAAAGACATAGCTCCTGCTCTTATGTTGCTTATGAAGATCATATGTTGTTCGTAAGCTGGTCCATCTGTCTTAAAAAGTGTTGTGTAAAATAAGTATATAGACATATTTACAAATAGTCACTATTATTATTGACCTGATAAATCAACTGT